GAGCCCGGGGCCTCCTGGGAGGGGGACAGGATGCGAGGGCTGTTGTCATTGCGATCCAGCACGAACACACGCACAGAGATGTTGCTGCTGAGTGGGGGAGTGCCGCCGTCCTGGGCCTTCACCTGCAGCTGGAACTCCCGGAACTGCTCGTAATCGAAGGACCGCTGGGCGTAGATGGTGCCCGTCTCTGCACTCATGGAGACATAGGACGAGATGGGCAGCTCCTGGATGGTGCTGGTGAGGATGGAGTACGTGATCCTTGCATTCTGGCCCACGTCCGGGTCTGAGGCAGAGATTCTGAACACGGAAGTGCCTGAAGGGTTGTTCTCTGACACGTAGATGCTGTAGGAAGTTCTCTCAAAGGCTGGGGCATTGTCATTGACATCAGATACCTGCAGCGAGATGCTCTTGTGTGTGGAGAGAGGTGGGGACCCTGCGTCCGAGGCTGTGACTGTAATGTTGTACTCCTGAGTCCATTCTCTGTCCAGGGAACCATCTGACAGCAGCTTGTAGTAATTACTAGAAAAGGGAAGAAACTTAAAGGGCAGACCATCTTGTAAATGGCAAGTAACCTTTCCATTGTCACCAGCATCTTTGTCCTGTACTTTTATCAGGGCAATTAAAGTCCCAGGCAGGGAATCTTCAGAGACCGGACTAAACAGGGAAACCAGGGTTACCTCTGGGGCATTGTCATTCTCATCAAGAATGCTTATTTCAACCTTGCAATATGTCTCCATTCCGCCTCCATCTTTGGCTGCAACTGTCATGGTATATTCTCTGGCTTCCTCATAGTCCAGTGGCCCAATAAGAGTAATGGTTCCAGTGTTTGAATGCAGGCTGAATCTTCCTTCGGCATTCACGGGAATGTTATTGAAATAATACTTTATCTCAGCATTGGACCCTTCATCATTGTCTGATGCAAGAACCTGAACTATAAAGGACCCAACTGCAATATTTTCCTTTAGACTACTCTTATAGATGTCCTGAGTAAAGCTTGGTGCATTGTCATTGGCATCAGTGACATTAATCCATATCTGAGCAGTACCAGTTTTTCGTGGTTCTCCTCCATCAGTGGCTGTAAGTATCAGCTGAAGTGTCTGCTCAGTTTCTCGATCCAGAGTTTTCTGCAGCACTAAATCTGCAAATTTATTTCCATCCTGACTTTCTTTAACATCCAAGGTGAAATATGGATTTGGGCTAAGCTGGTAATTTTGAATAGAATTCATCCCAATATCAGGATCTTCTGCTTTTCCCAGAAGAAATCGGGTGCCTGGCAAAGTAGATTCAATGATCTCCAACTTGATACTGCTCTTCAAAAAATGTGGTGCATTATCATTAATATCCTCAATTGCTACAGTTATATGGAAAACATTTAAGGGAGATTCAATCACTACCTCAATATTAAGAAGGCAGTGTGGAGCTGTGCTGCATATTACCTCCCTATCTATTCTATCATTTACATAGAGGTTTCCATTCCCTGCATTGATGCTGAAATACTGGATTTTATCCATAGAGACAGCATGCAGATTTCGCCTAGGCAATTCCCTGGTGTTCAGTCCCAGATCCTTGGTGAGGTTCCCCACAATGGAGCCCTTTGCCATCTCCTCAGGGATGGAATAATGAATCTGTTCTGAGGCAGCCCAGCAGGAGAATGACAACCATAAGAGAAGCAGTACTTGCCTTGCCAGTGACCTTCCATTCCCTTTTTGCCTTTGATCCATCTGATTCTTTGGGATTGTTTATTTTCAGCTTGTTTTGAGCAGACCTCTCTGCAGAAGAATAAACTATTTTTTTCTTAATTCATCCAAACCAGAAGTGCTTTGGTCTTCTCAGCCAAACTGATCTTCATTTGTTCGCTGTTTTGCTTTGTTGTACATCACTAAAGTACTAGGAACTATCCCTAGATCTCCAGCTAGGTTGTCCAACAGCGACACTATGAGGTTTAGCCTTAGAACTGCAAGAGAAGCTCTCTCCTTTAATGTGAAATCAGGATATGGATGGATGAATTTTAGGTGTGCATTTATAACAAGGTGACTTTTTGGAGTACCTATCCACTTGGTTGTTCAAGCAAATAACACAAACAGTCCAGCTTAACTTGTAAATTTGGCAACATGGACCTGCATCGCACATATTGTGTTAACATTCAGTGGGTGAGCTATTCATTCACGGGAAAGTTCCACTTCTGGTATTTATACAAATTATTGCCAGTGGCTGCAGTCACATCCTAGCATGCAATTTCATTGTCTTCTTTGACAATGATTAAACCACACAATAATAAAATACTGGAAGGGCATGGTGTTCCAAAACTGCGCAAGTGGAAGAGGGAGCAAAAGACCCTCCCTGATGGGCACCATTTGGTCTAGGGCAGGCCCCGGTATATTTGATGGCATGTTAAGAACAAGCAAGTATCACAAGTGTGAATCTACTTTCCACAGTCAAATGTGGACAAGGCACAATTTCATTAAAAGTTGCTGTAGATCAAATGAAAGTGTAGAAACCAAGAACAAGTGTGGTGAGAGCGAGAAATGTGTGTCTTACTCACATTCACCATGCGTCCTGCTCTTGCATGTCAGCATCCCTGCCATCCATGCTAACAATGCCCGTAACGCTTCTCAACCATATTTTCCTAACACTAGAAATATTACTTTGGTAGTGCTTCATATAAAACCCAATGCTTAATCTTTTATGTACTCATTCATATTTATATCACTCTTTTGCTTACAAAAAGTCTTTCCTTACACAAATAAATCACACACATAAACACTTTCTCAGGGCATAGCTATAAGTATATAACAAATCTGGGTTTATACTAAAGAATCTCTTGTCCCATAGTATGGAACGCCCGAATATTCCCACTTCGAGTTCTTTCATTGTAGGGGCAAGGAATAGTCACATATCCACACAGCTGGCATAGTGAACAGGTTAAGAGGCAAAACCCCCATACTGTGAAGAGTTTTAAGATTCCTAGTGGGGCTCAACAGAGCACTGTTTTTATCTTTACTTGGAGGACAAAGCTGTGCGTAACAGGAGATGAAAGGCTCCCTCCTAAAACTCCCTCCTGGGTATCCTCTTTGTCCTTTCCCTGCCACATGTGCTAAAACGTATGATGTGAGCACATTAAATTCCTGGCTAGTGGGTGCCAAAGTTTATTTAAGTTAAATAAATAAACACACGTTGCTTCATTGATTGTGACGATGATGGATGGATGGATGGATGGATGGATCTGGGCACCAATATGCCCTAAAGGGGCAAGCCCATTAGGGCTGAGAGTCTTTCTTTGCAGTTTCTAATGTGCTAGCTCCATCGTTGGATGTTTGTCCAGGTGGTATATGGCTGGAATTCACTTGTTTCGTGCTCTAAGACGGTCGGCTCCGCCTGCGGACACCCTGCAGCAGTTTAAAACCAATACTTTCATTATAGTGATGTGCTTCCATGTTTCACCATTCTGGAAATGTAAAAAAGTGGACTGCACTTTTTACTATATGTGGTGGATATGTAATAAAGTGTTTTTAAAAATTGGAAAGAAGTTCATACAGAAATACAGACAAAAAATGAAAATTAACTTTCTTGTGAATGCTAAGAATATGCTACTGAGTATTCTACCAGAAACTCTACCAAGGAATATGGTAGAGTTATTTGACTATATGACAGCAACAGCTGGAGTTACAATTCCATCAGAATGAACTGCAGAAGACAACCCAGCCAAAGAACATTGGAAAAACAAGTCTGCTGAATATGCAGTAACTAACCAGTTACATAAATAGAAGAATATAATGACAAATGGAAAGCTTATTATGTACAATTTGCTCAATAATGAAAATAGAGCTTATTAAATATATAATTAGTGGTTTATAATTTTAATACTAATATCTTGTTTCTATTTAAAAATAATTTAAATGGAATGGAAAATAAGTTAGTAAGAAGAATCATAAATTAGAATAACTGCTTAGGATCTGAGTTTTAAGTACTATTAATTTAACCCAGTATAGAAGTGATAACAATTATGGACACTTTGTGAAATTTTTTGACCTTGATATTATATGTTAAGTCTGGTACCTTTGTTTCCCAAGTCACACTGTATGGCTAGCAGACTCCACCACTAATTCCTCTAAGTTCTTAGTGGAACTTAAGCCCATTCATTTTTCCCACACACCACATTTCCCATGTGCAACTCCATGACCCTAAGCATATGAACTGCCAACGTAACGTCTTAATTCACATCTTCAATTAACCAAAGGGGGTTCCTCTCCCAGGCAGCTGATATTCATTGCCATTTTCAGGAACCCAAGAATTGTTCTGCCCAGTCAAATGGGATGCAAAGCACTAAATGCAGAATTAAAGGAAGGGTTATAGCCACACTGAAACACGGAGGGCGCTCTCTGACCTGATCCCCCTGCTCACAAGCAGGGCTATTTCTTCCAAAGGGACAGCTCAGCAGATCTGCCTGCATCTGCCTGCCTCCTTGAGGCAAGCCAACCGTACTGGACCTTTTGTCTCAGCCCCGAGCTTGATGCCACATTGGCAAGTGTAGAGACCAGCCTGGGTAAGGTTCCATTCAGAGCCTTTGTGTAAGGAGCCTTGCAGTTCAGGGCCTTTTCTCCCCATGTGGCTGCATGTTGCAAACAGTTCAACACACCCCAGTATGAGACAGAACTGAGCCCGCACCAAAACTGAGCACTTAGATGAAGAGCAAAGTCCTTCCAGTGTTCCTAGGCAAGACACCTTCTATTCGTAGTCTGCTGGGGCACCAAAATATATCTTCCTGGCAAGGGGAAGGGGCAATAATTTAGCCAAGAGGGAAAGAATAGATACAAACAAACAAATAACTATTTAATAAAAAAGACTTAGGATAAGCTGCTGTCACACTCCATCAACTTATCTCTGAGTCATGACAACGCTCTGAGTGAACGCCCTCCAAACTCAAGGCTGTAGCTTCCAGTATGGAATCAGTCCATCATGTCCATCCACAGTTCTTCTGTGCCCTCTACCTTCAACTTCCCCTGGCATTGTTGTCTTCTCCAAGAGCCTTCGCTTCTCATGATGTATCCAAAATATGAGAGTTTTGGCTTTGTCATTTTTGCTTCCAGGGAAAGTTCTGGCTTGGTTTAATCTAGGATCCACTTGTTCATCTTTCTGTTGGCATTCACAAAACTGTCTTCCAACACCAGGTTTCGAACACATCCATTGTCTTCTTGGTCAGCTTTCTTCACTGTCCAGTTTTCACACCCATACATAGTGATTGGGAATTCAATAATGTCAGTGACCTTGGCCTTGGTCTCCAATGAAACCTCCTTATATCTGAAGACTATTTCTAATTCCTTCACTGCTGGCTACTGCCTTGTTGTCCCACTGAGTCCATGTGCAGAAGTGCTGACCATTTTTATAGATCTACAGTATATTTCTATGTGCATAGGTGTACTACTAAGTCAATATTCTTTCATGATTATCCAGCTGCATTTCAGTGCTTACTGCTGAACACATCCTCTATGCTTTTTTATTCACAGTATTATGTAACCCCTTTTGTCACAATCTGGAGCAATGGTGCCTGAATTTTATTTATTTCTTCACTATTAAATGCTCATTAGATTTCTTAGAATGAAACCATCACTATGGTATAAATATTTTTGATTTTTTAAAAATGCACAGCTTTGAGAATTGTTAAGCAACACTGTGGCCATTGTTTTCAGTCAATGAATTCGGGCAACATGTATGAATGGATGGGACTATTGGGAGTCACTGGATTCCAGCAGTGATTAATTTTCCATCCACCCCAGTGTGGCCCTCTCTGACCCCCAGCAGCCCCTCCTAGCACAGACCTACCCCATGACCTCCTCCCTACCCTTCTGGTATGGGGAACCACCTGCAGGCCAAGCGTGGGAGCTTCCTGTGAAATGGCAGCTTTCACTTGGGCCACCTAAGCAATGAGTTTCCTGAAGCTTCAATTGGTGAAGAGGCGGAGCACCAGAAATGAATCCTTACAGAATGCAAAGTCTTAGAGCTTGTACAACAGCTGCCTGCCTTCTCCACTTTAAAGTCCAGGGATATACAGTAGATACTTACAAATATGGAGATTTAGATTGCACATTCGCTACATTCTGACCCTCATGATTCTTATGAGAAAGACTTGAAGACAGAGTTATAAGTCACTTGCACATACTTTCTTTAACCAACCAGCCAAGAAAATGAGCGCAAGGCCAAGACAGCATCTAAGCCACACATGCTAATTCAAGCATTTGTTCCTGGAAAGCACAACAAAATGTCCATTTCTCAGAAACACATTTCAGAGAAGCACACAAAGGTGGCATAAAGCCATGCAAAACACACAGACACCCCCAAGGGTGGACAAAATGCACACCGCACCAAAAACAAAAAGATCCAGGCCCAACACCAAAACCGACATACCCACCAGGCAAACCACACCACACACCAAAACAAATAACACACACCAGAGCACCCCAAAATAGGAAAGGAAAAAGTCCCACACAGAGCCTCGGCAGCCCCCGCCACCCCACCTGCTGTCTGCTCCCCACCACATGCTTTACTCGTTGTTCCATGGGTCTGGATGCATGGAAATCTGCAGCAGAGGGCAGCAGCCAGCCACCCTTGCTGCTTCCCAAGAACACCTCTGGGACCAACTTTCTGGGTTTGGGTTGGTGGTCAAAGGGTAAGCCAGTCCCCTGCAGGAATGCCCTGTGACACTGCCTTGACTTTTTGCTCGGAAAAATAGATTACCCAGCACTAGCTGGAACACTTCTCCTGGCATATTTTTCTCTGCACAGAATGTTTTTATATGGGTGGGCCCTAATCTGTAAGTCCATAGCCGCCGTCTCAAAGAGTACAACCTGGACCACCAAATGGAAGTTGGTGTTGCAAGTACAACCAATCCTTTCATTGAGGAATACTGAAAAATAAGCTAAACAAGATGGAAAACAAAGGGCAACAAATTGAAAAATCCCCAGGCAGATATACAATTATGAGAAGAATAAATGTAGATGTTGTCTCACCTGATTGCCATCTAGATAACCATTCTGCAAATTTAAATCATTGTCAGATAGGAGAGGGTCCTTTGTTTCACACATCAGTTGATTGCCACAAGTATTTGAAGAGTTTACTTTGGAAGAATTCAACTGGCTTTTCCTGGAGTCTGTGGTCAGAGAAACCTCATGGCAATACGACTGAAGAAAGGCCTGGACTCCGTCAATGCCAACAAACTGAGAGACGGGGGCGCCATGGAATTTCAGGCTTCCCGAGTCAAACAGCTGCGCAGATCTCCACCT